GAGTGTGATTAAAAGGGGTTATTTTTAATCACACATTTTAAGTGTGATTAAAAATATTTAGATCACACTTTTTAAGTGTGATTAATAATATTTAGATCACACATTTTAAGTGTGATTAATAACATTTAGATTACACCTTTTAAGTGTGATTAAAAATATTTAGATCACACATTTTAGGTGTGCTAACAATTTTAATATACAACAGTTAAAATCATTGTATAACACCCAACCTCCCACACTATAAACCTTACACAACACCCTCTTTCCACTACACCTCTATAACACCATATTATTATATATGCAACATATATTATTTATATAATACATAGACCCGTATTAATATAAAAGTACATATATAAAGATAATTATTTTTTATTGAAAATAATTTATGTAAAAATAAATTATTTACTAGAAAAAAAAAGAGACCACTTTTGGCAACTAAACATAATTTTAGTCGCCAATTCTATACTTTTGGCTACTAATTATTTTTTAGTCGTTAAAAAAATTAATTCCCGGGCTAAAATTACTACTTTTGGCGACTAAACTTCTTTTTAGTCTCCCAATGCCTCAGTTTTAGCTACTAGATTTTTTTTAGTCGCCAAAAAATCTCACTTTTGGCTACTAAAATTTTTTTGGTTGGTAAAAGCCTCACTTTTGGCTACCAAACATCTTTTTAGTCACCCAATACCTCACTTTTGGCTACTATTTTTTTTTAGTCTCCAAAAAGCCTTACTTTTGGCTACTAAAATTTTTTTAGTCGGTAAAAGCCATATATGGGCAACCAAATAGATTTTTAGTCGCCAAAACCTATACTTTTGGCTACTAAATTCTTTTAGTCGCCAAAAATCTTTACTTTTGGCTACAAATGCTTTTTTGGTCGCCAAAACCTACACTTTCAGCGACCAAATGTGCTTTTTTAGTGGCCAAAGATGTTTTTTCTTGTAGTGGAGTGTGATTAAATATATATATATATATATAATTACACTTATTTAAAAAGTGTGATTAAAAAGTAATAATGTATATATAATCACACTTTAATTAGAATGTGTGATTAAAAAATATATATCTAATCGCACTCATTTAAAAAGTGTGATTAAAAAGTAATAGTGTATATATAATCACACTCTAATTAGAATGTGTGATTAAAAAATATATATATATAATCACACTTAATTGAAAAGTGACATAAAAAATGAAAATTATCACGCTCAGTGAAATTAAGTGTGATTAAAATATCAATCTAATTTTTTTTTTATCACACTTCCAATAAAAGTGAGATTTTTTTTTTGTCAAAGTATAATCTTTAACTATTTTTGTAGTAGTCTTAGGTCTAGTTCTGGTATTTTTGTAAAATGGATTAGTAAATAATATGGTCCTTTTTCACCTGGTCTATTTCTCTTTTGTTTTTAGTGTCGTTTTTATTGTTTCTCCGTATAACATTAAATGCCATGATTTTCCACTACTGCAGATTCTGAAGGCTGTCAATGTCATCCAATTACTGACATCTCTCGTCCTAAATCATATAGGTGAACATAGAATGCGTCTCAATTCCTTGGTTTTACACATAATATTCTGAAGATGTGTAGAAAACGCACTTCATATGTTACAAAATGATTCAATTGATGATATATATCTTTTGTATCTCTGCATTTTAAACATTTTAAATCCCAAGTGACTGAATAGATATTCGGTTTCAATTTTTCATTATCATTTTCTGAGATATTATTGCTGTTAGTGGTGATATAGTACTAGATGTTTGTTCAAAACTTTTGACTAGATGACAAAGTGGTTGATTAGGGTGCATTACAATGGGAATTACTTAGTTTTGTTCTTAATTACTTGTTTTGGTTTTAATTTTTAATTCTAGATCTGTGGAATATGAAGGAATTGGATTTGATCAGAGTTTGAAGAAATCCACATACGTTCTTTGAGCTTTCTCTCCAACTCCAAAGAGGATCATTGTTTTTGTGGCTTTTAGGCATATTTGCTTGGGTAGATTTTGTCATGAAATTGTCGAAAGTGGGAGATTGTTAATGTTTGGAGTCTGTACTAGGTTGACAATATTTTAAACAAAAATCTAGTTAAATCGTTATTGCTTTAATTTGAACTATAATTATTTTAGAAGTTCAAGTTCAGTAAGAATTAATATTAGAGTTGGGCATAGAGTGTTCAATTCTTTGGTACGAACAATTAGAGATTTCTAAACTAACTACATTGTTGTGTCATGTGTTGAGTAACCATTTAAGCTGTCAACATTTCAGAAACTCTTTGGATTTTCATAGCTCAAGAGAAGGGTGATGATTTTACGAATTCTGAGGGGCGTCTGAACTCAGGTTTATGGAATTGGTTTTCGAGTCATGCTAAAGCACTTAAATTATAAATATGAGTGTGGTTAGCACTGCTGGAAATTAGGCTTTTAGTGGCGTTTTTTAAACGCCACTAAATCTATCAAAAACGCCGCTAGTTGTTTTTGTGACGTTTTTACGAAACGTTGAAGATGCGGCCGTCGCTGTAACTTTGTGACGCTTTAAAAGCGTCGCTATATTAGTATAGGCGGCGTTTTTTAAAACGCCGCTAATTGTGCTACATAATGATAATGCTACATTTAGCGACGTTTTATAATCGTCGTGATAGATCTTTTTTATTTTAAAAATATAGCTGCTGGCATTTAAAAACGCCGCTATAGCTTCATTTGTTTTTTTTTTAAATTGTGCTAATTTTGTGAGATTTAACCCAAAAAAAAAAAACCTATAATAAAGATGAAAAATATTCAATATATTGACTAAATTTAGGTAACACAATACCGGATCAATTCATGCTTTTCAATATGCAAAAATATTTCAATTCCAAGATGAAATAAAATTAAAGTAGTGCCTAGTTGTAAGTTGAAAGTTGTTACAAAACAAATCGGCACAAAAGATGCAATTCAAACTAATTATACATACAAATACTATGAAAGCATATACCAAGAAACAAAAAATCCCGTGTTTTTCTGTTGATGCAATCAAAGAAATGTCTAAAATATCATTGGAAAAATAAAATGAAATCTGATATGCACTCTTCAATTCAGTCATGAGCCGCCAAAACCGCTGCTGCAACTCTTTTCAATGATTCAGAGGCCTTGCGCAGATCTGATTCAAAAAATGGAATGCTGCAGGGTATAAAAGTTACATCAGAATTATATGTGAAAGGTGAAATCAACACAATCTACTACTTACCAGATAACCAAGATGCTCAAGTGTAAAATCTTTCCAAATCCAGCCAATAATCTTCTGGGTCATAACAAATACCTGCCTCAAGCTTAGGTCTCTTAATAAGTTCAGAAATTTCATGAGCAATTGAAGATTGACGAACAGATAAGCCCACTGTAGGTGCAAGTACCATCTATATTGCATTATTTATAAGAAAGAAAGAAAGAAAGAAAGAAAAACAAATCCAATTTGCAAATCATATCAAGTTTGTCACTAGAAGAAATCATTACTCTATGAGTTCTGTTTTGACATTAAGAGTAACTTTTTTGCTTCTTGCTCTATTCATAGTGTTGTAGTAAATTTATCCTTATTCACGACAGCAAGTGCTCGTAGCAAAATATTAAGTAAAATATGAAAACTCCATCTATACAGAACAAATAAGCATATTGACTTAATTTAGGTAAACATAATACTGGATCAATCCATGCTTCTCAATATGCAAAAATATTTCAATTCCAAGATAAAATAAAGTTAAACTAGTGCCCAGTAGTAAGTTGAAAGTTATTACAAAACAGATCGGCACAAAAAAAGAAGGAAAAAAAAAACAGATCAATCATGTACTCTTTACAGCTCAGCAAAAAAAAGATCGGCATAAAAAAAATCAAGATATCTATGAATTTGTCTGGCATAAAAAAAAGAAGGGGTGAGGGGGGGAGAGCTACTGCAGTACAACACAATTGCAAAACCAATCATGTGCTCTTTACAGCACTGGGAAGCAAGTTGAAGGCTTCCAACAAGCTTTAGTTCCCCCTGCTTACAATAAAACTATCAATGAAATTTTTCCCGTTAAAAAATAAATAAAGAAATAAAAATTAACCCAAAGGACAAAAAGATATGAAGAGGAAGACAAGACAGTCTGGTTACACCACCACCATCACCACCACCATCACCGTTACAATAAAACTACTTACACTTTATATCAAAATATAATATAGAAATCAATAGAACCTATCAACTCATATGTAGCTTCTTAAATGACTTGTGTAGTTACCAAAATTTTGCACTATCTTAACAACAATAAGTAGTCAGTGAACATTTTCCATTTGATTTCTATTTCTTAGTTTCAGTATTACAAAAATACTTACTGCTTGAAGTTTGTCGACGTTCTTAAAGCAGATGATTTCATGGAAAGGTATGGACTCAATGGGCATCATATATTTCCTGATTCATAATCAAATCATCACAAGATTAAAGCATTTGAGCAGTGCAATATAATAGCACAAAGAAAAATTTTAAAAAATAAAATTCTCAACCAAGAGATTCTCATGGTTAAAGTTTTTTTCTTGATAGACATAATCAATGATTAATAACAATGAAATCATTAGCATTGGAAGGAAGTAACTTCATAGCTTGAAATTGACGTTGCAAGGCAGTAGCTTTGCATATTGACACAATTCTCTAATTAATGTTGACACAAAATAAAATTCAAACAATTTCTGAGTCAAATCATCGTCATATTTGTCAAAGTAAAGCTCATGCTAGTGTGGCAAATATGTAAGGATATATTGCCTACAGGTCAACACCCATAATCTTAAAATACCCACTCCTTCAAATTTAAGACCTTACTATAACATATTAGACATCACAATTGAAAAAACAGTAAGAAATTTCATTATTTCATCGGAATGTGCACTAAAGAGAATTCACTCTTAGTCAAATGCATGTACAACTGCCATCTTCTCACTTAAATTAGTCTACTTCCAAAATAAAATGGCCCAATTCATATCACGTGTGTGCCTAAGACTGTTGGGAACAGAGGGACAAGAATTTTAAAAACAGAATGAAGACTTTAATTAGGTTCTTGAATAAGCCTTTGATATTAAATGCAATGCAGTAGGACCAATGTGTGCTTGAATGATCACTATGTCCTCTCTCTTTTTATTAATTTTAAGCACCATGATTAATTGTTAGTTATTAACACTAAAAAAGTAACAACCTAGCTAAGGTGGTATGCACACTGCTGAAAAATTCACTTTTAGTGTACTGTCAATCCTGCACATGTGTGTTTGATGTATAGCCAAAATTGCTTTCACAGAATACTCATAATAGCAAGAATTCAAAAATGTATGCTCACTAGGCAGATTTTGAAATCTATGGAGTGGAAAATCAGAGAAAAACCGTCATGTCAACATATTTTCCAGCGATGGTTCTAGCTGTTACCAGTCCAGTTGCCAAAGCAGCACCGAATAAAGCATGCAATCTCACACAGTAATACTTTGCCATAAAGATCTTCATTTTGTCCTATAAGAATGAAGTCTCAACACCACAATAGAGAACTAATCCAATTTAGCTATAAAAAGAGTAACAACTAGGGTTCATAACCATCCAATCTGTAATTCTACTGTAAAATTGAAGCTCAAAATGTTACTTACTACTCACCTTGTGGTTCTGCTCAACGTAGTTGACGACTAGTTTTCCAACGGGCAAGGTTAGGGCACAGAGAAACTGAAACAAAGCTATGATTAGATTTAGAATAGTGGGATGGGTAAGTATGATGCACTCCAAATGGCACTAAAGATCACGTGACACGTAAATTAAGCATTCTTCGCATTAAAGAACGCTCTAAAATCAATGAACTTACAATGCAAGAAAAATAACCTCAAACTTTAAATATTTTCTCCTAACGAAATTAACATGAACTAAAAGCTGAATTGTCCCCTTCTTATTCTCTAAACAATTTTTTTTCCACATCCATTTCATCTGTAAAAAATAGAATAGAATTGTTTCAATAGCTACACAATCTAGTATAATGAGTTCTAATTTATGAAGAACCCCAATAGGCACGTGTATATGTATCTGGGTGTGTTTGTACACAAAGAGAGACATGGATTACATATAGAAAATCACATCAAACTAAGCCTTGTGTCCCAATCAAGTAAGGTCAGCTACATGAATCATTTTTTTCCATTCTACTCTACCAAGGGCTATATGCTCGGTTAAATTAAATAAATTAATATCTTTTTTAACTACCGCATCCCATGTCAGCTTAGGTCTTCCCCTCCACATCTTCTCCATTAGAATAATTAAAGAGTTAAATATTGGAATCTTGTATTAGTTATATTTTAAAAATCATATTCAATACTCCATTGTATTACACTTAATAGATTATTATAGGCTATGTTTGAATCACGAATTCAGATAGAAATTTGAGAAAGGAAACCCTTGACTTTTCCTTTCCCTTCACAAATCCCTTCCACAATCCATGATCCAAACACAACAAAAAGTATTTTTGATCAATTCCATCTTGACACTTTCAAAGTCTGTAAATGATGAAGTGTTGCACATGTTTCATATTAATAATACTAATGTTGGTATTAATATATTTTAAAATGGAAGTTTAATTGTGAGAAAATGTTGAAGTTCAAAATTAAATCAATAAATGTTTAAAATTAGAACATTTATATAATTAGATTGAGGGATTAAATTTTGCACAAATATATGAAAAAGGTCTAAGCGTAAAGTATATCTTTTCTCTTATTGAATCTTTTGTTAGTAGCATTGATATAGATTATGATATTTAGTTATTTCAATTTGTTAGAAGTGTAAAAGAATGTGACATATTGAACCAGGTTGCAAGAAAGTTATGGTAAGTTGATTATTTTTCAACATAAATGCAATGGAGCAAATTGTCAAGATAACTCATTCAAAAAATCTTGAATATTAACACAAGACAGTAAATGATTGTTAAAAAGAAAGTAAAATAAATAAATAAATAATAGCGTTTGTCTTGGAAGTTGGATGCAGAGTTAGTACTGTGAAACAAATCTGTAAGAATTGATATGGTCCCTTGTAGTAGAAGAGTTGCAGAGATCCGTAAAACAGTGGTTATGGTACCATGAAGCAAAAATTTATGTGGTGCTTTGAGAAGTTAGTAAAAAAACTAACTTTTTGGCTTTTTTGTGTAAAAAAATTAAAAAGTCAAAAAGCTAGCATTTTTAGGAAGTTCCCAAATCTTGATTACATGCATTCTTTATCTAGACAGGAAATATGTAACAAGAAAGTTAAGAAACACAAAATAACAAATCCCTAATATTGTTTTCTCAGTTTGGCCTTGGCAATAATACCGGCACATGTTAAATCTTCCAAGTGACTTTTAACTAACCTCCATTTTTCTGAGGCTCTTTAAATCTCTCTGGTAGGATACTACTTCATTCTCCCTCACTTCCAAGATTGGTAATAAGGTAAGAAGTTAGATGAGATTTGGGAACCACCCTGTAAGTAGAATTAATGAAAAGCCATTAGATGCATCCCACTAATATACATCAAACATGTAAATACATAACAATAAAAAAAAAAAAAATGCAATGAGTCCATCAAATGAGAGCACAACGCTTACATACATATCCTTTCTATCCACGGGCCTAAACAAGTAGAGTAGAGGCCTTTTCAGGCTGGGTGTATTTAAAAAATGAGCATTTAGATTTGTACACAGATTCTTCTTTGCTTTTATTTTGCTTACACATACACAAACATATAATTATAAGGGAAATTTGGCCAAAACCCCTCCATTTGACCCTTATTTGGTGAAAATGATAACTTAATTTATTTAATATCAACTTTAAAACATATTTCATCCCAAAAGGCTCAATCATCTTTTAGCAAATAAAAACCTTAAAGAGGAAACACAGAGAGTGAGAGAAAATATATAAATCTTCTAAGCTACCTATTTGTAGAACAAACAATAAAACTATTTAAATAAAATACAGTTACAGATCAAAACCATTGAAGCTGACTACCTGAGAGAACTAAAACAAATAAAAGAGCTATAGATTCGATACCTAAGAAAAACAAAAACATAGATCGAAATCAAAATCATCCAAAACAAGATTGAGTCAGACCAATAAAAGAGAAGAGCACCTAAATCAACAATGGAAATCGAAATCCTAAGCAACCGTTTCAGTCAATCGAATGAAATCAAACTGATAGAATGTAAATCAAAACAGATCTAGATTGATACTGTGCAGTCATGAAAATCTCTGAATCTCGAGTGAACACAGCGAGTACAGATTGAAAAGCCCTTTCAAAAAGATCCACTGCATTTTTTCAGCGCCGTGTAGAACGAAACCCTAGATAAATGAAAATCAAGGGAGATCGAACAATCTTGAAGAAAATTGATCAAATCAAGGGAGATCAAACAATATCGAAGAGAGATCGAATAATCTCGAAAAAAAATTAGTCAAATCGAGTGCACAAAACAAGATTTCAAAATAAAAAAATAATGAAAAACGATTGAGATAAAAGATCTAAGGTTTTGATCTACAATAGGCTTACTTGAAATCTTCATCATCAGTTGCTTCGTCAATATCTACAAAGAGAGCTTCATTCATGCCATTTTAGAGAGAGAATAATGTTGGAGAAGGAGAAAGAGAGGGGAGAGGGGAGAGGGTAATGAATCTGTGACTCTGATGTTTGGAAATAAAAGTTATATTCTATTAGGTTTGAGTGGCAGAGGTTTGTTTCTTTTTCGTTTTTTAACTCATTAATTAATTGGCAAGGTTAAGCATCAGCGAAGGCACGCATCTTGGAAAACGAGAAATGAAGACGTTTTTCAAAAAACGTCTTTTTCTAAGCGCCGTGACAATGAATTTTTCTTGCAGTGGTACTTACAGAAAATAAAATGAGTTTGAAGAAGATTGGTTGACTGATTCAAATAGGTCTAAACTGCTTTATAAAGTTTACATACATCAACTTGATTGGATACAATATCTTATTATTAAGAGCAATATTTCTCTTTCTTATAGATAGTTGGATATTGATCTAACTTGCTGTAATGTCATCCAAGCTTTATTTATTTATTTATTCACAATTTTATCATCTCTCTTACATGACAATGTATCCTATGGCAGAAAATAATTTTGTCACCTCTTACATGGAAATGTATCATATGGTACAAAACGATGAAACAAATGAGGTAACTATAGAATCTTTGCTTATTTAAATTTAACACACTCGATTAAGAAAACAATAATTTATCACCTCTTACATGACACCGTATCATATGGCACAAAACGATGAAACAAATCAAATAACATATAGCGTCTTTGCTTATTTGAATTTAACTCACAAGATTAAGAAAACAATAATAGGGACTCAAAAGCTGCCTTTGCCAAAAGATAGAATGGAAAAGATAGTTTGTGCCATGGTAAGCAGCAGAAGTATGGTAGCAGCCAAAAATGAAATCAATGCCGATGGACTGTTGAAGTAATTCTGCTTTAAGTTTGCCACCCACACGTTTCGGCGTCGCTTACAGTGGTTGTTTACATTAATGAAAACTTCAGAGTAACCAAAGTCGTCGAGATGTGTTATGGTGATTTTGAACAACTTGTGCCACATGGAGTAAACCTCTGCATCATCACCCACCCAAACTTTCAATAATTCCACTATGATTAAGTAAACGAACATCCTTGGTGGAATTGATGAGGCGATCCATGAAGACAATATAGTCACAAACGTAGTTTTGCTTACCATATGAAGGACACAGCTCAAATGCAACTAGATTTGTCAAGAAAGACTTTGTATAGTCTGTGATGGATAATAGTGGAATTTCTAAAGTCCCACTATTGAATTTTATATCAAACAAGTTGCTTCCCTCGGCCTTCTTGAATTGAACCCCAGCCTCCTGAAGTTCTGTTGCAGAATTTATGAACTCCCATTTCTCTCTTGTTATTACATTTCTATTCGTCTCAGGTAACTTAGAGCACCAACTATTATGTACTAGGTCAAGTAGGTGTTTGATGTTGTCGATTGAGATTCCACCAGGAGCTTGTAGTTTATGCTGTGGTGTTAAGTGTTTCAGAAAATCTAAGGTTATTTGAATGATTCCCAAGTTTGAATCGCTATTAGTCATGTCAAACAAACGATTAAGGATAAAGAACGGAAGTTGATTTTCTAGTAGAATTAAATCACGTCCTATGGCATACATAATCTGCTGTGATTGGAAAATATGGTGATTCTCAGCCAGCAGTTGTTGCACATTATGGAATGCTTGGAAAATATGGTAATTTTCATTTGTCAGTACAGGCTGGACTAATTCGAAAAATTGTTGATTTTCACCTACCAGTTGGAGCATCTTACTCATGCAAAATAACTCAATGATAAAGAAACCGTCAAGAAGCATCATTTCCACAAACTGATCTGAGTTACAGTCAAGACCAAGGCCAGTGGTTTCTGCATAACATTTGCGTGCTCTGTCTTCCAATTCTCTTATGGCCATGACATATATATTCACACTCGTTTCATTTCTTCGACTCAAAAACCTTCGTAGGAACCGCAATTTGTGCACTTCCATTCCTTTTAGGTTTGGTTTACCATGATGGTAAGGACCAATAGCAACTATTGATGGTTCATAGGCTTTCTCATTTTCCTTTCGTAAGTGATCATGCATTCTGAAGATACAACACTCAGAAGATGGATTAGATAAATTATCAAACTTGTCTAAAATACTAATGGAGACATGATCATCAACTCTTTCTTCCGGTTCTCTTGTGTCCATGACTTCCCTGAAACAAACTAATTGTCATGCTTTTGTTATATATCTATATATATATATATATAAACATATGTATAATTATTAACATAGAAATAATTAATAATAAACAACTTGGTCTTCCGTCCAAATTAGAGGTTAAAATTAATAATTTTAGAGCACTAGTTAGTTTTTCTAAAGTGTACACACAAACAATATAACAAAAATTTAGATAGAATAACCAAATTAAAACTAGTTTTAAAGTGTAGGAACACATTGTTCAAATTGAACCTATAGACTAAAGTGAAATTTAAGTCAAACTCAAAATGGAAAGTTTAATTGATCTATTCCTACCAGATGTGCTTTCAGCAACTGAGCCATTTGGGTTGACTCTTTTTGTGTTTTTTCTTTAATATGTTTGAGAAATTATTTAAAAAGTTACTTTTGTTAAAAAAAAACAAAAAAAAAAAAAAGGCTATTCAAGATTAAAAATTAAATCCAATTTTCGAATTGAATGAGAGACCACAACTACAATAAAAATATTTCATAATCTTTATGGTATCAAATCTTAATATGAGGGATCTTAAAAAAAAAAAATATTCAATATTTTTTGTTAACTTTTATTTTCGGTTATATTAAACGTCAAAAAATACAATATATATATCTTTTAAAAAATATTTGCACCCAAATGATCGGAGCTCTACGTTGTTGCTAGTGGCCATACGTGGATAACATAGAACAAAAAATTCTACCGCACATAAAAGACAACCTATAGAGAAATTTTATCTTCACACACTTAATTATTTTAGTATATATATATTTTTTTAGTACACATACTTATTAGTTAATTTTCTCAATTTTCACACTAAAAGTTATAATTATATCTTTCACTCATATCCATTGTACATACACCATTAAAGTCTCCTCTTCACACACTTGTTGAATAACCCTACTTCCAGATTTATATACTTGTAAACTCATATGAAGGTCATTCAAAACCACAGTGTGAAGTGATGTAATGTGAAGTGAAGACAAAATCCTCCATTAAAGACCTCCATTAAAGACCTTGTCGAGCCTCCATTGAAAACACTATTGAAAACCGTCCAAAATATTGTTGAAGATGAGGCATCTTTCTATTTTGTTATTGCATTGACCATATGTTTGGAAAGAATTAAATTCTAGACACACAGGCCAACTGAATTCTTCTTTAACACTCCCTCATAGCATTTACCACTTTATTTACCCTTTTTCAATAGCACAACACGTCTGATTCAAAATATTATTTTCCAAAACAGTGCAAATGTTCCAAAACATAATATAAGAATTTCCAAAATCTCTTTCCAAACATATGGTTTCAAATTTCAAAAAAATCTATTACATGCTCGATGATATGAATGATTTCAAATTTGCCTAATCCACATGCAATTTCTAACACACGGCAACGCTATCCTCCACCGATAGCCAAAATAGTTATCTCTAATGCAATAATTAAAAGATAACAATATAGATATATTTTCCAAAAAGAGTAACAACACTCATTCTCAAAATAACACCCATTCTCAAAATCCAACAACAATTTCCTTTTCAACTCTTTCCAACCAAACTATTTACCAAAATCAATCAAACTCCCAAAACAATTTCATTTAGGATTTTTCTATAATTGGGACTTTTCCACTTTTAGAAATCCATATGCATTTGTGCTTTAGCATATTGCATGCATGCGATTGCTACCATATCAAGCATGCTTACCATGATGCTACGTGCTTAAGTGATATATCTATTTGAATGCCAGTGGATGAAGGCTAATTTACTTAAGTTAGGATGATTTGATTAATGTACACGTGAGATCACTTTTTTAAGTGGGTACATATTCAAAACAATTTTAAACAAACATGAAATCAAAGCGTTCCAAATTTTGTGAATTGGTCTATACTTGTGTTCATCACATAGTAAAGATAGTCTAATAATCAAAACAAGAGCATATACTGTACATAAGAATCACATTATGACTAGTAGAGGCCGATCTTTGATCGGGTGAGTGGAGTGCTCAATTCATGACATTCCCCTCTCATACCTAAGTTCCTGAGCCGAGACATTTTGGTAATGACGGACACGTGGGCTTTTTTATGAGTCACGGGTTTTCTAAATTTTTTAAAAATATTTAGGTGGCGACTCTGAAATTTGGCAAAGCGGTCCTTTTTTGACATTTTTTATTCAAAATCGATTTTCTAAAAATTTGCTGGATTTGGATTCATTTGTGTTTATCTATTTCGCATTGCACTTGTGAAATCAAACTCAGAACCATGGGAGTCCAAACTGTAGGGCTATCGTATCCGAGGAGACTAAACCCCTCTGAGGAGCATGAAAAGCAAGCTACACATATACTGTTACACACCTCACAAGCAAGACTCCATTACTTACTACACAGCATCTCACCCTTAACCACAAATGGGTTATCTCAACACTAATGCCCTCACTCTGCGAATGTACTCACAATCTCGACCAAGTTCACAACAACAAGTTTCACATATTTATTCACTCATATCAAGCCAACTCGCAAGAGCCTACCACTCTACAATGCCACCATTACCACGTAACAACCCAAACTGAACAACAAACAAGCGCAACATCTCCATCAATCAGTGACCAATAAGGTCAACACTCTAATCCACATGATATCCTATCACTCATTATACAAGTACAACCAAAACACTAAGTCCCCTGGTCAATCTACCAGATACTAATACTTGCTGAACAATTACCCTGAACCAAACCCCGATACATACACACAACACTTACAAGGCTAAGTCATACTATCTTAACTGCACAGAAGAACAAAAGTCCCCAACCTCCTCCACCCGAGTCACAACTCTATATTCCCTACTACTCTCCTAACTAACCTAGAATACTACTCAAGCCAAAATAGGCCCACCTCCGAAAACAATCACCTCCTCACCGTCATTCTGAAGCGTGACCGACAAACATAACACTACTCCTGTCACTACAAGACATAACCCTCTTGCTTCGCAAGAAACTTCCACCGCAATAAAATAAAACTTGTACCTCTAACATAAACTGACATCAACCAAACCGAACATACTGACTGGTATAACTTCACCATCGCAATATTCTAACTAATCATAACGACCCTCAAAATACCCATCACATTAAGGAAAAACTCAAAATTACAACATACCTAACTCATCAAAATAAACAATCCGCCATGTATACATACATAAACAAAAGTCATAATATTTCAATAGTCCACATTGTACCGGTTACAAAACAAAACGATCACATAATAATTACAACTGTTTACCCTCCAGTTCCCAAAACAAGATACTCAAAACTAACTGCCCAAAATAGATATCCCTCTGCCAGCACCACCATCACATTCTTATCCTGATTACCGAGATGGGTTATCCTCAACCTCCAGAACAATCCTTGAACTACAACGCCAAGGACAAGAGCTATAGATGTGACCCAGCTGGCCACACTTGAAACAAACATGCATCTCCCAACTTGGATAGAAATTCGACCCTTTAATAACCCTCGAAGTCTGGCCTACTAGATTCTAGTATCGGTATCGCCTCTGCCCGTACAGATAAGGCTGAACCCGACTAGACTGCAAATTATTCAAAGAAATCCCGGTTGTGTACAAAAATGCCTGGTATGACCCGGTTGATTACATTCATAGCAAATAGGCGGTCCCTAAATATGTGACTAGTTCGAAGTCTGAACTGGTAAGAATTCCAATGTCTGCTCCCCTTGTGAGCACTCGATCGCCTTAAGTCCCGGTTGGTTAGATGACCCGATTGGTACAATTATTGGTTGAGGCAACCACCTTGCCTTTCTCCTTTGGTTCTTACTAGGTCTACCACGACCTCCAACCGTAGGAGTTATCGAAGTGGTCCCCTTCTTACTCTGGCCCATGGCTAGGACTGCGGCCTCCACGTGGGCAGCTTCTTCCACAAGTGTACGATAATTCCTATGCCAAGACCCAACAATCCTTCCTCGAACATCATCACATAACTTACTCTCAAACTCTACACAACGGAGCTCCTCGATTTCCACCAACTCTGGAGCGAACCTAGACAGATTGGTAAACAACGCATTAAATTGTGCCAAAGGTGTAGTACCTTGGCGCAACTCCAGAAATTGCTTCTTCAACTCTTCCCGTGTGAAAGGAGGAAAGTCATCACATCCTCACCTACACATCCTAATTAAAACAAACACAAAAAAATTAGCACACATCAAATGGTGTTCCCAACAAAATCTCATACACTCTAGCATTAGACACACAACATGTCACCTATAGAGCACACGCAGAGGTACCCACTCAACGTTTACTACCACCGCCGAACACGTCTCTATTAAAGAGAAAACACGTAACCTAGGATACATAACACGAGTATCCTTCACCGAAATACTAATATAGTACCATCATATAAGCAAATCCTTAAACAACCACATTTAGACTCCAATTAACTCACACATCAATTACCACATAACATGTAAAACATAATCGAGTTAAGCCTACAAAGATAGTTACTCGTTCTAGCGCTCCCTTAGAATTCTCATTAGAAACAACGTTGATCGAGCGCTTTTTCAATAAGACCTCCAACTTAGTCAACTAGATACCAAATAATATCCATGTGTCTCAACCCCATGCCCACATAAAATGCAACACATAACCATGTTATCATATAGCACACAACATACAAATGTCCTCATCGTGCATGATAAACCCATTATGGCTAACCACTTCCTGCGAGTCCAAGATTTTCAAACCCGGTTAGCTCTGATACCAAGTTGTCACGTCCCAGATTTACACGGTCCGACTCACGTGAATAAACCACCCAAGGATGAACAATAGATAACAACTCTCATGCAAATGAATATAATATAGTCGCACAATATATCTGTTTATCTGATTTTATACATTCCTAGATACAACATCTAAGTCGAATGGATGTTCTGTAACTAAAAACATATATAGATGTTATAAATTAAATTGAACGCCTTGAGGCTTACATCATACACAAGGGTGTAACCCTTATAAGAATGGCACACGACTAATAAATAACATAAATGGCCCATGGCCTACAAATAACTGAACCGCCCTACACGGTTCAAAACACAACTTCACGTCACAGTCCACATCCACACATGTACACCTAAAAAATATTTCATCCATGTAGGGTGAGCATAAAGCCCAGTAGAGAATATTTCAAAAACTAAACATGCTCCACCAGCATAAATTGTCATGATGCAATGCATATATACAATATGCCCAAATGCATTTTCAAATCCATTTGATTTCTTAACAAAATCCTTTCTTTCCAATTACCAAAACCTTACGTTTAATATGTTTAATCAAAACATTTTCCCCAAGTTCAAATCACCTGTTTGATATAAAATCCCTTTCCAAAAATCGATCCAAGTATCTCAATACCAACAAACAAAAGGGAAGAGAGAGAGAGAGAGAGAGAGAGAGAGAGAGAAAATGTAAATGTGAAATGTGTGTTTGCGGTCTATTTATAGTAGTAGAATAATAGCCCTAAAGTCAAAGAAAAGAATAAGTCAAACCCCCAAAAAGTTGGACCCAAAATCGAACCAAAATTTCTCAAAATAACTCATAGGGGTCGACCCTCCAGACAGTGGAGTACCCTCAGGAAAAAAAGTTGAGACACTAATCTGTTCAGCAGACAAGGGTCGACCCTAGGAACCAATGGTGTCGACCATATATTTTAGTAGCAACACCTAGAACACAACATTAGACGAGGGTCGACCCTGGGACTTGTGGTGTTGACCCTATAAACCAACAAAGACACTAAGAGCAAGGCAACAAGGTAGTGTCAACCCCCAGGAAGACTAGCGTTGACACCAAAGCAAAATTTTCAAGTTTCCAAAGAACTTTTCAATGTAAACAAGCGCTAATGAACAATCCCAACAAGTCTAAAATGAATTCTACTCCTCAAAACCAAGATACAACAACTCCAAAGTCTCCCAAAATGAAAGTAAAGGAATTAAATACACTCAAATAGCTTAAAAGACATAAGTGCTACATTTTCATACAAAAAATATATTTGGCATACAAGTTTTTTTTAATTTTTTTTTTTGAAAACAAGTGAAAAAAGTTAGCTGCCGACGGTTAGAGAGAGTGGCCAGAGGTGGTTAGCGGTGGTCAGAGGTGGTTGCTTGCCACATGAAGTGATGACTGGAAGTAATTGTCGATGGTCAGATATGGTGGCCGGTCAACTGTCTAAGGTAATTTTCAACAAGAGGTGGTGGTCGAAGGTGGTTACTATCGATGGAAGGTGGTTGGCAGTGGTGATAGGTGGCTGGTGAAGGTAGTTAACGACGATAGTAGCCACTAGTGATAAGTAATGGATGGTGGTTGAAAAAAAAATGGTTTACTAATTTTTTATAAGCAACTGAAATTAACTTTTTTTATTTACAACTTTTTAAAAACCAAATCAGAAACCAAACGAGTTTTTATTTATAATTTTCAAAAATTTATTCATTAAAATAGAAAATTGTAAATATAAACGTTATTGAAAAAGCCTTAAAGAATTGGTGTGACGGTATGGACCAGACATCATTTTATATCTATGCTGATGTGGCAATGGAATTGAACCCTATATGATTAGGTGTGACAAATAAGAAATTGACACTTATCCCACATTGTGAGTCAAATTAAGATTTTTTATTTATTTTTTATCTTTTGTTTTTAAGGATTTCAAATATTTTTCACAAGTGAAATAACATTTTGTTCAACTTGGGTTCTATTTTTTTTTTTTTTTATGTATTTTATGAAAAGCATTTGACAAACTATTTTTGGAAATTGATTTCATGAAATTTGTATGAAAATAATCCACTTTTTAGAAAGCACCAAAAAATTATTTTCAAACTATCAAAAGCTGTATTGGTATAAAATAAAAATGAGGGGTGTTTTCAACATTTTCAGTTTTTTTTTTTTTTTTTTTTTTTTCAGTTTTTTTGCACAAATAAATTGTGTTTTGTTACAATTAGGAAAAAGTTGGGAATTCATAAAACCAGCAATCAAACTAATTGTTAACCAATGTAGGATTGAAAATTTTGAGTTCTTATTGAGCACATGATTTGGTGATTTATTATTTGTCATCAATTCCATTGGTAAAATTTTGCAAATCAAAAGTATGCAAATTGACACTACAAGAATTAACACTTTTGCCGACAAAAAATTGGTCGCTAAAAGTCCATTTTTGGTCGGCAAAAATTATCCGCGACCAATTTTTTTGGTCGCTACTTTGGTCGCCAATTGAGGGTCGGCAAAAGTAATTTGCGACCAAAATTTTGGTTGGTCGGGAAAAGTCGGATTTGCCGACTAAATTTTTGGTCGCGAAATATATCATTACCGCGACTAATTCATTTAGTTGTTGAAACACTTTGGTCGCGAAATGTGATATTTTCCCGACCAAAAAGTTTGGTCGCCAATTGTGACATTCCGCGACCAAAAAGTTTGGTCGCCAATTGTGACATTCCGCGATCAAAAAAGTTTGGTCGCCAATCGTGACATTCTGCGACCAAAAAGTTTGGTCGCCAATCGTGACATTCCGCGACCAAAAGGTTTGGTCGCCATTTGTTACTTTTCGCGACCAAAACTTCTCGTCGGCAAAAGTGAGTTTCCACGACCAAAAGCTGTTTTGGTCGGCAATAAATGTATTTTTTGCGACCAAAACTCTTGGTCGGCAATTGTCATTTTTTACGAAAAAAAATTATTTATTTGTCGCGACTAATAAATTGGTCACCAAAGCAGGAAAATAATGCACCTGCAATTCCTAATAATTCATTCAATCCATAATAAACCTATAATTTTAAAGCATCAATCAAATTAAGTGAACAACCTTGGTTAATGATGCCACCTTGGTTAATGATGCCACCACATCAAACAATTATTTGTACCCCCAAAGTCAAATGTAGTGCTAAATTTTGTACATTGCCATTCATTTAATTAAAATCCAAATTTAATTTCCTTCAAAAAAAAAAAAAAAAGAGTATATAACTTGTTAACCAAGTCCAATGTAATGGCAGATCAATCATGAGCCTTGTGAAATGCACCTCCTCAGAAGACAAATTGCACAAAGACTATGGGATCTAAAATAACACAATCAAGATTACATCACCTTCTTATTGCTGGCTGCATCTTCCGCTTGTTTAACCAATGCTGTACCTTCAGCAGTAACATGCTGCATAAAGAAAAACCCAGCCAAACTTCAAAATAAACAAGGGGAAGAAACAAATAATACCAGAGGCACAATGCTACATTCTTTACAGAACAATGTACTGCAAGTTAAAGACCAAAACCTGTTTAAATATACTAGAAACCGGATCTAAACCTCCAGGTATTTTGGAAAAGAGCCTATACATCCTTGATAAATCCTCTACCTACAAGAGAACAGGAAAAAAATGTTAATAAACTTTAGTTAATTGCAACTGAAATAACAACAAGAAGGCTTGAATAATAACATTGTCCAAGTCTGATAAAAAAAAATGGTCCAAATGACTACCTTGTCATCCCTAAGCAATGCATGACATCCAGAGTGCTCCTGCTCGAGCAATTGGGTTGCATAAACGGACAACAATTCATGTTGAACTTTCTATAGGAAGACAAAATTACCCACAATTATAACAGCAAAAGTGCATATCTTCAAAATTGGCCTCAAAATAAATAAATAAATAAAAGAAGTAACCATTAAAAGACTAATTATTATTGGGTAGAAAGAAATTTAGTATGACTTTACAAGAGGAAGAACAAACCTCAAGCAACTTCAGCTCGCTACTAGAATGTAGGTAATAAGCAACCCTATCCTTCTCTCATTTCAAACACTCCTCAACCTAGAGTTACAAAAGGATTTTTTAGAAATTATATAGGATTATCAAACAAATATATCTGACCTTAACAAGAAAAAAAGAAAATGAATAGATGTTTACTTTCAACATATAATCTGGACAGGAATCTTCCAAGATCCAGTTTGAAGCCTTTCGAGAATAATAATCCGCGGTATCTTTCAGCATATCTGCTTCAAAGTCATTCTCACAATGATCCATTTGTCCCATTCCGATCTCAACAAATATATCCAAAACAAAGTCATTCTCATAATATATCCATTTGCCGCATTCTTATGAGATGATCCAGCTTCTTATGGGCTGATAATCTGCATACATACCCATCATTTGTTATGGATGAAGATCAAGCTGACTATTATAGCTAAAGTATATATAGTCAGCATATCTTCATTTGCTCATAAATAATCAAGAAGAGGGACTGCCCCCTATAAGCTCGCAATTGTAAATATAGTCAGCATATCTTCATTTGCTCATAAATAATCAAGAAGAGGGACTGCCCCCTATAAGCTCGCAATTGTAAATATAGTCAGCATATCTTCATTTGCTCATAAATAATCAAGAAGAGGGACTGCCCCCTATAAGCTCGCAATTGTAAATATAGTCAGCATATCTTCATTTGCTCATAAATAATCAAGAAGAGGGACTGCCCACTATAACTGAAGTACCCATGAGGATGGCAAGATCTTTCAATCAGAAGGTAAATGAACAAGCAAAGTCATAACTTGAGATAGCTGGCGCTGATTCTGTGGCCAATGACTAGTATATTTTCAACCTGTAGAAAACTTTATATTTACCAAAATGTTTTCCCATCAAAGTTTGTCGCCAAATAGAGTGGCCAATTTGTTTGACACATTGATATCAAGAGGTCAATTACAGCAATTCCAGTCATCTAATATATTTGTGTACGGTATTAGTGACTTAGTCATGAAACACAGAGACATATTTTTTAATCATGAATCAGCAATTCCAGATTATTCATTATTGCAACTATATCATAGTCCACTGTAAGCAACTCCAGAATGAGAACATAAGCTTCATAATTGGTTACTAATTGCTATACTTTTGCAGACAATTCCCTTTCTCCAAACTTATTCTTACTTTATCTCTTTTTTTTTTTGTTTTTTTGAATGACACATGATGTCAAATTCTTTCAGATTTTTGAATTCCTAACATGTCAGCAGCAGTCCCAGTCAATGTGCAGACCATAAGCAACCAATAGTAACTACACACATTTTTTCTGCCTTGGTTGACAAAGAATAAAGCAACTTGGCAGAAGATTTGTCTACAGAAGTAACTTACTTCTAGAGAATTGACGGCAAATTCAAGGGCAGCATTTGTTTCTGTTGGTCCATTCTGCATCAGAAAATAAAAAAGCATAGGCCTATTCAGAATTTTGCTTCTAAATACACTTATCACAACCATATATTTCCGTTTTCCCACATTTATGCTTACAATAAATGAAGAACTAGTAGTACTAAACTAAAGCCAAGAAAACACAAATGCAATGTATATGGTACCTCAAATGGGGGCACCAGATTTGCCACATTGCGGACTACAAAGGCTTCTCTGGGTTGAAATCCTAGGATGTAGGAGAGACAAACCCTAGAGTCTCCACAAGCAATGACCATGAACTGTTCTTGCAAGCATCAGTTAAGAAAATCTTAACCAGTTCAACACAAAATTGAGGCAAATTGCCAATGTAATCCCCAGATGGCTCCAAAATATATCATGGACTACAAAAAAGTTAACCCTAAAAAACCCATCATACCTTCGGTGCTTGACTCTTGGCAAGATTTTCATAGCATTCCAAGTTCTCCCTGTTCAAAGAAAACATCACATCAGGGAAACTCAATTTTCTGTGAAGCTAAACAAGAAGATGTCAGAATTATAAGCTTGCTTACAGGAATTTCTACCTTTTGAAACTCAGAAACTGATGTTTCATTTCATTGAACAGATCAGACCCATTTTGAGTTCCTATTATGCTCTCTTGTTTGCTATTTGTGAGCCCCTCAGTCAGCCCTGGTGGTTCCATCGAGGCCTTCAACCTCAAAATAGGATTGCTTCTGTGAATTCAATCATGGAAGGTAGAAATTAAGAACAGGATACAAAACATGTTACTATGTTTAGTATCGGCAAAATACATAGTGCATATGTTTCAAATCAAATCAAATACATTCTCATCTTTTGGGCTCAATCCCGAGGTTGCATGGTAGCCTGTAATCTTAAAAAGAATGACTTTCCTATAAATCAATAATCAGACAATAAAATTAGAAGCTTATTATGTAAGAGTTAACACAACAAAGAAGAAACATGGCATTAAGCTCCTCCAGTATAACCTATGAAGCACAAATACTTTTACAAGAGAATTGTTTCCATATCATACAAATCACATCCCAATACAAAAAAGAAAAAGACAACAAAACGGGGAAAAACAAATAAATTACTAAAACTGAACCAAAAAATAAAAAACACACAACATCAGATGCCCTGACAGTGACAAAAAGTGAATCTTATCCACCAAAAAAGAGGAGAAAATATCAATTTAACACACAGTTTCTAACACATAGAAGATCCTTCCAAATAAGAAAGAAATAAAGATTGAGAACCAACAAAGCAATTGATGTTAAAGAAGATATATTGTTTTAGGCAAAACATACACAGATACATCTACAGACTCTATGTTCTATGCTTCCATGATTTTATTTTGTCCACACAAAGTAACATGAAAGCGAATGTAGCTAAAACAGAAACAAGCATTTATCCATTTATTTATAAGCAGCAATTAACAAAGCCAAAGATGATTTCAAGACTACATAAATCCGATCGACTAATTACAATCAAGCAATGATGAATTCAAATCAGATGTAAAACCCAACCATAAATCTAATCCGATCATCGTTAACTCAAAAACTAAGGAATACATGCAAAAGTACTTTTTTTTCCATTCATTAACCAGGATAGGCATATGAAATAGTATGATATAATGAATTTTTTGAAAAGAACCAATCAATTTTCAGGTTGAAAACCAGACAACTCTCAATTATTAAAGAAAAGACAGAGAACACAAACAGTTCACTTTTGAGGAAATGCAACTTCAGTGGTAGATACAGATCTTACTTTTGAAGATCCAAAAATATATGAAATTGTACCACACAAAATAGACAACATACATCGTAATTACCAAGTAATTCATAGAAAATAGATTTAAACCACACGATGTAATTAGACTAGGGAGTACTGAAATATACAACACGCAGAAATAAACCCAAGAAACATCTGATTTTTCGAAATCGTCTTACTTTGACTTAAACTAAGTTAACCTTTTAGAGAAGAAAAAGTTACATTCATGCAGTCATTATCCATAGTGGCTGTCCAGTGATTTTAAATGCTCAAGACACACCAAGGCGCCAGATTCAGGCGTAGGCGCAAGGTGAGGCGCACCTTTTTGGTAAGAAATAGATAAACTAATAATTCAAACTTGAACAAAAGCAAAATGAAGGAACACAGGTAAATTGTAGAAGAATTCTCAAAGCCATAAAAGCCACATATCATTCCAAATGCAAAATAGTCAACATTCAACAAAACTAATAATTACTAAGCTTTACTCTAATAGTCATTCTGTATCAAATTTTATTGTCCTTAGATAATTTATTGCTTATACCAGAATAACCTAAACATTAATAATCACAACATTATTTTAGCTAACAGTTTTTAAAGTTAGAACTTTAATTTTGAAGTTAGTAATATTAATTTCACTATTTGACTTATAAAAATATGTCTATTATATGAAAAGTATAGTGATATGGCATGCAAAACTAATACTTGATGGAGAGGATTATTTCATCGTTGGCGACATCTACTAACCATAAGAACAATTCAGCCCACCATAAAACAAACTACAGCTTGATGGTAGTTAAATTTTCAAAATTCACTGCACCTTATAATTATAAATAAGTTTCATTAGTTATGAAATTAGCCGTAGAGAATGAGGAAAAAAGACTAGACATAGATAGGAACACAGTGAAGATCTTAGCTCATAGTATAACAATCAACTAAATGGTAAAAACATAACCCTTATTTCGTGTATTTCCCTTGAACCCATACCTAAATGTGGTCCATTAGGTAAGCCAAAGGCACTCCTGCCTTCCTAAGATCCCACAAAACTCAGCCTACAGTTCTGACAAATTAGAAATGACAATCTACAGAACAAGCAGTCTCATTAAATAAACAATCACTGTAACTCTTATCAATTCTCGAGTCTTTTTAAGCCAACATACTAAAGTTAAAGTTACTCTTAATTATCTCCCAAAAGCAGATAATTCCAAGAAATTATTCAGTGACTTGAATTCCTTGAACATTTAACTGTGAATAAAAATAAATAATACTCACAAATTCAGCAACAAAGTGTTGAACAAACTTGATTAGTTAGAGATATTATGAAAGGAAACATATTTCATTATGCCACTTAGATTGTTTCGTGCAGTGCAGTGCCACTTAGATTATTTCATTATGCCATTTCATTATACCACTTAGATTTTTAAACCTTTTTTTTTTCTTTCCCATTTTGTCAATCTTTATTTTGAACAGCTACAGCAAGCAACAAAGTTTGGTTCCTCCTCAAAAGATTGTTTTTGCCATTAAGGATGTTAATTATTAAAGAGAATGAGAGGGGAAAGAAACTATTAGAATCAAAGTAAATTTCAGGGCTTGAATAAATGAAGTAATCCTGTGTTTAGCATTGTCATAACTTTGCATCAGTTCTGAATACATCCCAGTAGCAGCATCTGCAGGTTTAAAAATAAATAATTAGTCAAATAAATGTGAAACGAACAATGCACAGAGATCGTAGAGTGATACAAAGTGCAATCAAAGGCAAAACCTTAAACATTGTTAAGAGTGAAATATATCTTACGAGCACATTGGGCCGCAATCTTTCATACTCCCATCTTCAGGTCTTGTCTAACCACCAAAACCTGCCATCACAATTTCCCAACTTGGAATTTGGAAATCAAAATTAAAATAAAATAAAAAATAAAAAAATAAAAACTAGTAAATGCATGAATCATCTTCAAAGTCAAATGAAACCAGTTATATCTATATCTATACCTACATCTTTCACCTTTATGTGCTCACATGACTATATAAGAAATTGAATAGAATCGTATATATCTTACAACACTGCAATCAAAAGTCCACTATCAAAGTAACAATAAACTGGGTATATTATTCTCTGCTTAGCAATATTTAGGAAAAAAATTAATTAACCAACAATTTGGGCTTGTAACTATCATCTGTCCACTTACGTTTATTAACTAGTGTAATTGGATCACCCAAAAAAAGCACTTTTTTGGTCAATCAACTACCTCGGCTGACCGCGCCTTTCCGGGCGCCGGTCTCTCGGTCTGTCTGGTTTCGACCATCCTCGGACCGAGCATCCTGGTCTGACCGGTCACTTCCTGGCCGAGCAGCTTCCGTACGGTCCGGGGCGGCACACACTCAGTCCAAACTCAGCCCGGCCCAAGTTCTGGTAGCCCATTTCCGGGCGGATAGTTGATCAGCTCGGCCCCATACACTGTTGGGCCCTCAACCTGCTCGGCCGTCACATCGGCCCAACTCCAGATCATAAATTACCCTCTCAACAGTACTGAAAGGGGACACTTCTAAGTGGAAAAATTATTAGATCCTATCAGAGTATTATGGTAGTTGTTTATGTGGTATCTCAATAAACGTGAAATTGCAATACTATTTAATAAAAGTGACTCAAGAAGTCTATTGGTAAAAAAAAAAATTATTATGTAATTGAAATTGCAATACTATTTGTACACTGTCGATGAAATATTTAGATTTCTTGAAATAATTTGGACAATAAATATGGTATTTTCTTTTGCTAATGAGAAATCTCACTAAAATAGAAAACCTCTGAATACAATGCAGAGAGATTCAATGTCAATGGGACAAAAAAAATTTGATGTGAACAATACAATGCATAATATCATACATACCTCTTTAAAATTGCCATTGGTCTTGTGGGCAATGTCTTCCTCAATCTCAAAATTATAGCGAAAGCTGTAGTCCTGCTTGATTGAATGGAGCTCCGAAGAAGACTGAGTACTCACCACCTCTATTACAGTGCTGAGATTTACTCTCCATCCGAGAGCTTGAATTCGAGATCGCGAACAAATGAAACCATAAAAGGGTCTCTAGGGTTTGGCACCAGAACTTCATTCGCAGTTATAATCGCTTTAATATGTTCCAAATTCACAACAATAGCCCTCTCTCTTTGGAGAATCGCAGAGGGGTTCGAGAGCTCTGGTTCAACAACGCTCAAATCCTGAGCCTGGACTCCACTCCTCCGCATTATCTCTTGCTTCCCAGTTTATTGTTACACTGTCTTGGAGTATGAATATCATCGATTCCACTATCAAAGTCCTCACCATTGACACATAACACACAATCAGAAATGAACAAATAAACTAAGAGTCATAGATCTAAAAAAAAAATCACCATTGACACAGAAATGAACAAAAAATCACCATTGACCAACAATCTTAGTCACACAGTGACACAGATCTGAATAACATAAAAAAATCAGAGATCGGAGAGGAAAGAGAGACAGAGACAGCGACATAGAGATCCATACCTGCGAGGTCGATCGGTGCGATGAGAGTATGAGGTCGATCGGTCAATCTTGCGATGAGTGAGAGTCGATCTCTTGCGAGGTTGATCGGCCCAGATGAGTGATGAGATGAGAGTGAGAGAGTGAGTATGAGAGACTGATCAGATGAGAGTGAGATGAGAGTGAGAGACTGAAAAACGAGAGAGAGTGTGAGATGAGAGCTGCGTTATGCGTTTTTGAGTTTAGGGTTTCTTTCTTTTCTTTGTTTTGTTTGGGTATAGATGAAGTGAAGTGAA